CTAAAGAGGTAATATGGACAAACACAGCGTAGGCGAATCTGCACTTAAAAGCAGAAAACACAAACAAGGTCACAACTGGAAGATAGTAAGAATCAGGAACACAGTCAGGGGTTGAGAGTAAACTACGAGCAAGCAGGAAAACACCGGGACTGTTTATACAGGCTGTCATTAGGGCTGTGGGATATAACAAAATACTATATTGTGGTTATGATGGTTATGACTGTATTAGACCTAGTTATATTTTAAAAACACACAGAGGAAACCCTAATGTGATATCGAATGCATTTTTAAAAATGGCTTGCATTATTTTTCAACTTGACTTGTGTGATTCCTAAGTTCACTTACTTAAATTTGTATTACTACCTGGATTAGACCTGCTGGGTTTCAATTAAAGAATGGCTTATCATACTTTTTATCTGTTTATAGTTACATTGAACAAGTTGTTTTCCGTTATCATTTATGATATACCATCTATAAAGTGCCATGTACCAGCCTCTCTGTTTTTTCTCTCTCTTGAAGCTAATAAAACAAACAAAAAAAATGCAACTTTTCATATTACCAAGAAATAGCACAAAGTCCTCTGACTTTTCCTGAGTCGGAAAATAGAACAGCTTTACCTGTGACTGTTGCACTGACACTGGAGACTCCTTCTAAAAATGTACTCCTCACAGAAAACCTCACCAGATCAACTATAATGCATGCTGTTTTTTATCACTTCAATCTTCCGTGCCATGATTTACTGAAACAGCTACAGAAAATGCATCTTCACTCTTGTGAAGTGGATTAGAGTGTGAAACGACCCTCAAAATAAAATGTGTGTGTGTGTGTGTGTGTGTGTGTGCGTGCATTAGAAGCTTATAGTGTACAGTGTTCATGTGCTTTGTGTAAGTGTTGTCATGCTGGGTGCAGAAATGCTGGACAGTTTTATTCTACAGGTTTTCTAACATCAGAACTGTTAAATGTATCTTTGTTTTTTTGTTTGTTTGTTTGTTTTTCTCAAAATCCAAAGCCCTGAAACAGTGGAAGAGTGTACGAGAGATGTGTGCAAGTGTAAAACATATTTTATTGACAGTTGCTAGAATGTGAAGAGCAAATATTACAAAATGTACTGATTTCACAAGATTCACATCAGATTGTGTCCAGGCAGGGAATAAAGCTGTCTTTTTCACATTCTACCCTAAAGAGATCATGTGTGTGTATATATATATATATATATATATATATATATATATATATATATATATATATATATATATATATATATATGCACACCTTATATGCCCATATATGGGCTGAAATTCTCTTGGTGCCATGTGACATCCAGCAAAATAGTATCTATAGAAAATGCTAATTTTCTGCTGAGGGTCATCTCTGTGTTAACAGCCAGGCTTCCGGACATTATCATTTAGCCAGATAATATACAGCATTCTAACTTAGAAATTGCTGGCCCCACCTTTAATATAATAATGTGTGTGCATACTGTATGTGTGTGTTTTTAACTGGCCAGGTAGTGTTACAAAAGCTAAAGATCGACAAACAGATTTTACTTTTGGTGCCAACAGATGTCACCTGTGCTATATCATTGTACCGGAGGGGACAGAATTTGTAGTGAGTTGGACTAAATTTGAAAATATATATTTGAAATTGACACTTATTATAGCAGTGGTAGTTCTTTTGTCCTTTTTTTGTCTGAATTTGAGAGCCATTTCTCTTGTTACCTGAGTCATTTTTTAGTACAGTGTTTGGCTGCTCTATCCACCTCTGCTTGGTCACAGAGTGTGGGCGTTCAGAGAGGGAATCTCTACATGCTTCATTATGCCAAGGGGTATGTGTGTGTGTGTGTGTGTGTGTATGTTTGCAAAAAGGTGGGAGCTGTCTGACTATAAGGGATGAGCAATGGGTGTGTGTGTGTGTGTGTGTGTGTGCAGGTGTCGTTTATGCACTGTGATTATCTCCAGGGATGTGTTCCAAAATTGAGTGGTTTGAGGTCTTTCCTTCTGTTCCTCAGTTGTGTGTGTGTGTGTGTGTGTGTGTGTGTGTGTGTGTGTGTGTGTGTGCGTGTGCGTGTGCATATTTATGTGTGTCTGCATTTAAGTGTGTGGGAGCTGGAGAGCCACATAACTGACAAGTGGAAAGGGAAAAATCACTCATGGCAGAACGACTCCAGCACACCAGCAGTTTTTCTGTGCTTCTTGTTACAGCCAGTCACATCAATCTTCTTTTTTTTTTACTGGATTCACTGAACTGAGACATAATTTCAGTGGAGAGAATGCAGTGCTTCTCTGTTCAGTAGAGGCACGATTGTGGTGCCACTATGACATAAGTGGCACAAATGTCTCTAGTGTAGGCCAGGTACCTGAATTATGCACTGCATAATGCTATCTAAAGGTGCTTTTGTTCTAGTTTTGTATTTCTTAGCATTCAAAGCTGCGTGACTAATTCTACCTAGAAGCAGTTGCTTTTCTGTGACCAAACTACAGGCCTAAATGTAACTGAGCAATGCCATAAAGTTTCTTATAAAATTCTATTCTGGATGTTGTGCGTCTGAGCTGGAATCAGTCCTCATGTTTTAGGATTGCAGATGCATGTTTTCACCTCAAGGCAATCATCTACTTAATTAAAATCCCCACACAGCTTTGATGAGCCAGGACTTGCCGCCGTGAGTCCAACATTTTCTCGGTGCGCACGGTGTGAACATCAAATTGGTCCACAAAACAGTTCCACAGTCAACTTACCTGCTATCCAGGCATCAGTTTTGTGTTGGTCTAGACGCATGTTTGGGCTTATCTAATTGAAAAAAACAATTTGTGGTAAAGTCTTAACCTCCTGGCAGAGGAAACCAAGATTTGAGCTTAGCAAATATTATGATGCCATCAATCTTCAAGAAAGGCCCACACCAGTCGCAAAATAGCCCCAAAGCAGCAGTAATCCACCTCCATATTTTACACTGGGTCTGCTGATTTTACTTTGTATACAATCAGGCTTGTGCTGATAACAGACTAATCTTTGAGTAATTGCATGGAAAATAACCGCCATAAATAGTTAAACCGGAGGGGAGGCGGGAGGGAAGTATTTGACGCAGACTTTTAATGGAGGGGAAAGCTGCAACTTTGTTTATATTTTGCGTTACAATTTATTTTTTACTTTAAGTGTTTACACATAGCAATAATTATAATGATAATAATACGAATACAATCAAACGGTGGCATTAAAAATTCAATTTAACTTGTTTGTAACTTGTATACTTTATGTTTAAACGCAAATTGCTAGAATATTAATAAATTAAAGATTAGAAATGACTTTTTTGTAATTTAGGTCATGGTTCTTTTACTTTAATTAACTTACCTCGCGAGCAAAATTTAGACTGTGGCGAGTGAGGGGAAAGGAAGTGCACATGTGACTGTGCTCTCATGCTCTGTATTACAAATAACACCATAGACTGAGCTTGGAGATGACAAACATATGCACAGCTGGTTTGATTTATGTTCACGTAATGTAAGCTACTTAAGATGCATTTTGTATAGGCTAGGAATTATATCTGCCTACCGAAATGGCCCCCAGTGAGTGGGATCTAATTAGTTGAAATATCAGCTAAAGTGAAATTCTGAAACTATGAGCTTTTTGAAACTTCTGAAAAATCATGGTGCTGATTGTGCTTAGTGGTATTTTACATACTTTTCTGCATCCACTACCTGTGCGGATCAACTTTCTGCTTTCTGTCCCTTTTCGAAACAGCAGAGCTTCTATATACTTTAGAAATTTTGGAAACAATTATAAATATAGGATTCTGAGAATGAAGGTATAAAGAATAAAAAAAAGGTGAACATTTTAATTGGTTTGTACCCTTACACCTGAATACATTATATACATATAATTGATATGCCTATGTGTTATACCTATATAATGTGGCTGTGACTGGTAAGGGAATGGTGGGCGAAGTCTTGTCTCCAATCGAGCAGAGTTAATAGTTACAGTATAAAAACTGCTCATTACAGTACTGTTCATACATGACTGCCAACTCCATTTACATTTGTTTTTATGCAACTTTGTTGAGTAAGGGCCAGTATGACTTATCACCAGGAATCTGGAGTAAATAGCAGGATTCATGACTCTACTAAATCGTTGATGAATAATATTAGCTTGCCTTATTTCTTGTTCATTCAGTTCCATTAAACTAAATTCACTAATTTATGAGTTTAAAGGTATATTGTAAAGAATCTTGAAATGGTAAAACATAAACTAATGAAAAAAAAACCTAATGAATGTGATTACATTTTGCATAAAAACAGTCAATGTAAATATAAGTGTATAATTATATTTATATATAACTCATTTCAGTAGAGTCCACTGTAACAATGCCATAACAATTCTATGGTGCTATATGGGGGAAAATCCTATTAAACCCTGTTTCATCATTATAATCAAAGTAATATTTGGAAAAATAAAATTGTAAATGCACTCTGTGCACAATGGTGAAATCTGTGAACAATGGTGGACTGATTATTCAGTATCCGCCTTTTAATAATGAACAGCTTGTGCTTCATGATTTCAGCATTGTTTTGTTCCAGATTTTAAAAATGTGATGAGAGACCACATGAAGAAACGTTATTACAAAACGTACAAAAATGTTTGTATGTAGAGCATGCTTGTATCTTAGAGAAAATGTTCGACTTTTTTTTTTTTCAAATATTCCACAGTATATTGTATAGATAATGCTTCCAAACAAATGCATCACAAGTAATATATAACACAGAAAATACTTTAAAAGGCCAAATGTCCAATAGTGAAAGCTCTCTAAAAGAAATGTCATTTGGTTATTGTGTAAAATGGGAATTTTACTACCATGTCCTTTTATATACATAAGCCTGTGGGCCTAATTTATATACCTCATATGTTCTCATGAATATTTAATGGCTACAGATGTATAATGCCCATATTAGTTTCAGCAATGTGTATAAAGCTCAATAGTTTTATGTATAGTATAAACTCAAATACATGGGTCCCTGGAGGACTAGTGGTTAGGCCTTGGCGGTCTCACCACCGCGGCCTGGGTTCGATTCCCAACCAGGGAACCGACCCCAGCCACCGGGGTTGTGCAAGACAGCGTACTCCAAGTGCTGGTCCCAAGCCCAGATAAAATTGGGGAGGGTTGCAGCCTGCTATCACAGGACTAAAACCTGAACCTGTACATAAAAGTAAACATACATACATAAACTAGAACCTAAGAGAATGTAAAGGGTTTACACTACTGACTAGGGGACAACATAAACAAGACAACAAACCAGGATCAGTAGCCCAGCCATTTACGCTGTCTTCTAAGTACATGTAGTTTACAGGTCTAGACAAGAGTAACTTGTGAGAGCAAGAGCAAAAGGCTGATAATTGCTAACTTCTAGCTATAGATAAAGTCCTTAGTTGCAGTCCTTGTGCTTGATTAGGCTTTTATGATAGGCTTTTATATAATAATCTATAAAACATTATACACAAGTGCATGTAGACAAAAATAAAAATATATATATATACTTGCTGATATAAAGGAAAACGAACACACTATTAATCTATAAAGCCTCGTGCAATTATAGGCAATGAAAAAAAATACTATATGAAGCAGAACATCACCTGGTCTTTAGCTGTCCATTTTTGATGATTGTGTGCCCACTGTTGCCTCAGATTCCTGTGCTTGGCTTACAAGAGTGGAAGTCGATGCGGTCTATTGCTGTTGTAGCCCATCTGCTTTAAGGTTTGAAATGTTGTGCATTCTGAGATGCTTTTCTGTTCACCACGGCTGTAAAGTGTGGTTAAATGTGATTAGATGCTGGTGTTGGTAATCAGGAGATGCAGAGAGTTGGATGCACGTATGATGCCGGAGCTGGATCTATAAGTAAAACGTAAAGCAGAACAGTCTTCAGTAGTTGACGATAAGTACATACATATCACACTATGCAACGCACTTACAGCGCACCAACAAGAAATACTAGCATCGTTAATCTGTGTTTGTCCTCCCTTATAATATCAGAAATGTCATTTTTGATGTTTGTCTACGTGTTAATCTGGAGGTGTTTAGCCTACCTCTTATGCCTGTATGAGTCTGGAGGTGTTTAATGAGCGTGTGTGAGTGTGATGGCTGATGGGAGGTGAGTGCTAAGCTAGCTGCGCGGGGCACTTTGAGTGGTTCGTCATCCGCTACAGTCTAGACTAAAGGCCACATTAGTCACCGATGTACTGTACAGCAAGTGGGCGGGCAGCAGAAAGCCTTGCCATCAGGAAAAGAAAAAAAAAACACACAGGCTAGGGCACGATCATGTAACGAGGATGTTCTGTCAAATGATTAAATCAACACACTGTGTCATCAAGGCAGGTCTCCTCCTCTAAATCAAATTTAATAGACTTCATGTGGTGTGAACATTGATCAAGGTTTACTGTGATTGCACCATCACTGCCTGGATTATTTTAACTCACTGTTACCATGACTGTGAATATCATCTCATCGTTAAAGGAGCTTTTTTTGCATTATAGGCTTCATTAAATATCTATATTATACACTCACCAACCAATTTATTGGGAACCTCTGTACACTTGCTTATTCGTGCAATCACCTGGTCTTTTTCCAATTTCCAACGATCCAGTTTCAGTGAGCCCTTGCTTACTGTATCCTCAGATTGTCCTTGTTCTTAGCTGACAGGAGTAGAACCTGACGTGGTCTTCTGCTTTTGTAGGCCATCCACCTCAGAGCTCGATGTTTTGTGCATTCTGAGATGCTTTTTAGCTCACAACAGTTGTAAAGAGTGGTTATTTCAGTTACTGTAGCCTTCCCGTCAGCTCAATTCTCCTCTGACCTCTCTCATCAGCAAGGTGTTTCCACCCACAGAACTTCCTCTCGCTGCATGTTTTTTTCTTTCACCATTCTGTGTAAACTCTATGAAAATGTTGTGTGTGAAAATCCCAGGAGATCAGCAGCTTTTGCAATACTCAATCCAGCCCAACAACAACACCATAGTCAAAGTCACTGAGATCACATTTTCCCCCATTCTGTTGTTTGAGGTGAACATTACCTCGAGCTCTTGACCTGTATCTGCATGATTTTTTGCATTGCCTTGCTGCGACATGATTGGCTGATTGAATAATTGCATGAATGAGCAAGTGTACAAGTGTCCCTAATAAAGTGATTGGTGAGTGTATAAGCGCATCATCAGTGCAACGTGATGTGTCCATGTGAAATCTTCTGGCAGTGCTGCAAATGAGTTCTCAAGCCGTGCCCTGACAATTAAATTAGCTGACACTGTTGAAGCCCTGACTGTCGGGTGGAATAAGCTGCTTCAGGGGGAAAAGAGAGAAGGAAACTGTTTGTGTGTGTCATGGTGCTCAGTGCGGTGTGAAGAGATGCAGTCTCAGGGGCTAGATTCGAGAGGAGAGTGGAGGATTTAGTGCTCTTATGCGACCAGACAAGCACTGGTAATGCAGATCCTCATGGAAATCTTAGAGAGAGAAATAGATTTTCCACCACAGTGTTTTGTAATGCAACAGCAGGAGTATTAGAAGCAACAGGTTGGTGTTCTGTGCTCAGATCCGTTTTCCAGCAGTTTAGTTGTTCAGCGTCTAGTGGAAATACATCAACATCATTTTCTCCTTTAATACTCTGCATATCCACAATGTTCTGTATTTCAATCTCATGCAAAAGCATGTTCAAAATAATCAAAATGTACTGAACATAGGAGCAAAATAGTGCTGTGGAGTCATGAAACACCCAATCAGAGAAATTACATAATCGCAGACATGCTGAAAGGCAAATGATCAAATACCAAAATGGTCAAATATTAAGCCTGGTTCATGATCAGGCATAAGGTGCAGACTCACTGTTCAATCCCCAAAATGTGTAAACGATTTCTCTGAGACATCACCCTGTTATTTTAGGCACTTCGTGATGATTGCTCGGCAATTCTCGGCTAAGCAATTCCACGCCAAATAATTAGTTGCATTCACACATCTGTTTAATATTCTGTGTTCACCCACTGTCTTTTCTTCCCTCAGATTTGAGCGCAGTAGTTTTAATAAACGCTCAAACCCGTGGACTGATTGCACTTTAGACATTGACAAATATGATTAAGCGACATGGTTTGCTTTTTAATACGTAAGTTTTGGACTTTAGATACTTTGTTTATTTTGGTATCCTTTGGCTTCTTCAGTCCTTATATGTATGCATTATTAGTAGTTTTCTGTCTGTTCACTCTCTTTTAATTCCTCTGTGTCTTCAGGGACGCTCAGCATGTGTGCGTGCCGTGGCTATAAAACCACACGCTGACATTACGGTCCCCTGTTGGCTGATGATTTGTAAGGGACTTTAGTGTCGCCAAGTTGAAATTGAACCGTTCTTTTTCAAAACGTTGCAGTAGGTATGTTTTATTGCTAATAAATAAATAAATAAAGTACAGCACACTTTGCTGAAGACCCAAGCAGTACATATTACAAAACTTTCCCTGGAGCCCTAATCAAATTTTACGCTTGTGCCCTGGCTATTCATTTGCATATTCCTCATCAAAACACATTTAGAGTTTTGTTACCAGGTGAGTTTAAGTTGTTATGAGTTATATAACAACGGCAGAGCTCCAGGTTCGAGCTTCCTTAAAATCCCATGAAGAATATTCCCCACTTTTGTAACTGTAAACATTTCCTATTAGTTTTACTGTAGTTGCTGAACTGAATAATATGCTTATAAGTTCGATTAGTAGCAAGCAGTAGGAAGACAAAATGCTACTGAAATCTTTCTAGAACAAAATACAACAGAGGATGTTTGAAATTGTCTGTAAACTTAGTGCTAAAGGCTGCTGATATACAGTCCAATTAAAAAAAAATGTCACCCTATCAAGCAGCTGCTGTCTAATGAGACATCTGCAGAAATAAATGTGAAACTAAAGCTTGAAAATAGAAATGATGGATTAGCTCATAAAAACCTGAGGCCTTAGACAACTTGGGTCATCCATCTAGTCATGCCGTGTCGTTTGGTAAAGCTGCAGCTAAAACTATCTGGTTTCTGATTTTCTGGTTTCATGATTAAACTTTCCTTACACACATTTACAATATTCTGCCTTGGTTTTACTATGGTGCTTATTGTAGATATAGTTATTAATTCTGGACTAGTATCATGATTTTACTGGGATAATACAGTAAAAGTAGTTTTTTAATGGTAACTGGTTATTATACACTGATCAGTCTTAACATTAACATTGATTATCTGTTATATCTATGAATAACATTGATTATCTCATTAAAATGGGCAAGTGTAAGGATCTGAGTGGCTTTGACAAGTTCCCAGTATGCGGTGGTTAGTACCTACCAAAAGTGGTCCAGGGAAGGACAACTGGTGAACTGACGACAGGGTCATGGGCCCCCAAGGCTCATTGATGTGCATGGGGAGCGAAGGCTAGCCCGTCTTGTCTGAACCCACGTAAGAGTAACTATGGCACAAATTGTTGAAAAAGTAAATGCTGGCTATGACAGAAAGGTGTCATCAGAATGTGAATGTGAGCATCAGAACTGGACCATGGAGCAAAGGAAGAACATGGCCTGGTCTGATGAATCATGTTTACTTCCACATCGTGTGGACGGCAGGGTGCTTGTGCATCGTTTACCTGGGGAAGAGATGGCACCAGGATGCACTATGGGAAGAATGTAAGCCGGGGTAGGCAGTGTGATGCTCTGAGCAATGTTCTGCTGGGAAACCTTGGGTCCAGGCATTCATGTGGAGGCTACTTTGACACATACCACTTACCTAAACATTGTTGCAGACCAAGTACACCACTTCATGGCAATGCTAATCCCTAAGGGCAGTCGTGGCCTAATGGTTAGAGTCGGACTTGTAACCCGAAGGTGAACCTGAAGGTTGTGGGTTTGAGTCTCAGGGCCAGCAGGGATTGTAGGTGGAGTGAATGATCAGCGCTCTCTTCCACCCTCAATACCTCAATGAGGTGAGACCCTTGAGGGTGGGCAAGGCACCAAACCCCCAACTGCTCCCCGGGCACCGCAGCAAAAAAAAGGGCTGCCCACTGCTCCGTGTGTGTGTGTGTGTGTGTGTGTG